ATATGTCAGAATAACTATAATCTGTTTGGGGGGTTACCAAAGGTGGGAAGGGGAGTGGAGGGATGTCTAAATTTGATTAAGAATTATTACATGAAACTCACAAAATCTCAATAAAATTTTTTGAAAAGAAAATAAATGTCCAATAAAAGAAGTGTACAGTTTGAAAACAAAAAGTAGTGGTTTCCAGTCATCTCTCCCCAAGTAAAACATTAAAATATAAAGTCATACAATTATTTTCTCTGTTTCTCTCTCTCCGCACAAGCTACGTTTTGTTAAGAAATTTTGTAACAGCTCACTGAGTAATATTCCACCCTAGAAGCATTTGCAGTGGATGATGGAGAGTATTCGACTCATCAGGACTCCTCATACTCCTGCTTGCTTATCCACGTCTGAGGATAGGTGGGCAGGGGTACAGGATGGAGACACCAATCTACACCGAGTACTTGTGCTCAGGGGAAACAAAGATCTTGATTTTCATGTTCTGGGAGCCAGAGCACTGATCTCTTTCAGCGTCCTGTCTGTGTTGCTAGGATATTTTGGTGCCACAGGACAGTACTGTGTTGGCATAAAGATCCTTGAGGATGTCGATGTCACAATTCATGATGGAATTGAAGGTAGTTTCATAGATACTGCAGGATTCCATGCCAGGAAGGAAGGCTGGAAGAGAGTGCTTCAGGGCAGCGTAAGTACTCGCTACCAAGGTCAATTCCGGAGCTCATAGTTGTTCTCCACGGAGGAGGAAGATTCAGTGGTGGCCTTCTCTTCTGTGAAGTCCAGGGCTAGGTAGCACAATACTTAATAGCACACACCATTTCCCACTGCACTGTGGTTGGTGAAAATGTAGCCAAACTCAGGATCTTAATGAAGTAGTCTGTTAGGTCCAGTTCAGCCAGGTCCAGTTGCAGATAGCACGTGGGAGAGCATTGCACTCATAGATGGGGACAGTGTAGTCGACCCTGTCAAAAGACTTCATCAGGATGCCAGTTGTAGGGCCAGAGGCATAAAGAGACATCACAGCCTTCCTGAATGGTTATGCACATGATTGGGGTACTGAAGATCTCAAGGATGATCATGGTCATCTTTTCACGATTGGATTAGGGTTCAGAGACTCCTCAGGGAGCAGCACGGGTGCATGCCAGAGGCCCCCAGAAGGTGTGGTGCCAGCTCTTTTCCATGTTGTCCCACTTAGTGACAATGCCATATTCAATGGGTACTTCAGGGTCAGGATGCCTCTTTTGCTCTGGACCCTTTCATTCACATAGGAGTCTTTCTGGACCATGCCCACCATCACACCTTGGTGTCTCTGGCAGCCCTGGATCGAGGGAAGACAGACTGGGGAGCGTCACCACCCACAAAGAAGCCAGCATTGCATACACCAGAGTCATTGTTGGAAATGAGCACTAAGATATCATCATCCACGGCAACCTGTGGTAGCTGTGGACAAGCAGAGGAGCAGATGCAGGGGCCCTGTGCTCACAGGGTAGACTTGTCCCATGATAGGAAAATGCTCTCTGAAGAGGTACCTGCGCTGCTCTTGTCTGTATTGGACACCTGGGGAACACTGGGCCTGTGTTGAATCTTTGAGATGAGATCAACCAAATCCTTCAGCTGTGTCAAACCCTACTAGTTCCCAGAGATTGGCATGTGATCTAGTCACAGCTCACTGCCCTGAGGACTTATAATAATCTGTTCATACCCTGAGAAGGACTTAGTTTCAATCAGCACACAGCATGGACATGAGGGATCCCTCTAAGGTGTTGGGACTTGTGTTGCTCTGGTTTTCAGGTTCTAAGAAAGGGAAGCACAGGAGACTTTTTTTTTAAATCTATGCAGTGTGACTATTGCTGTGTGGTATTTAAAGAGTCATTCTCTAACAATATTACTCAGGGTATATTTGTTCTGTGTTTCTTATCTTAGGTGTAAAATGTGACATTCTGATGACTCAGTCTCCTCACTTACTGTCTGCATCTCTAGGAGACAGAGTCACCATCACTTGCAAGGCCAGTCTGAACATTGATAGCTTGGCATCAGGAGGAACCAGGGAAAATCTAAACTCCTGCTCTAAAAGGCATCCAGTCTTCAAACTGGGATCCTATCAAGGTTCAGCAGCAGTGGATCTGACACAGATTATACTCTCATTATCAACAACCTGGAGCCTGAAGACATTGACAATTATTACTGTCATCAGACTAGCAGCACCCCTTCCTCTCCTGCAGAGATTCAAGTCATAACAAAACGCTCATAGGGAAGCAGAGGTTCCAGGCTGTGCTGCCCAGCTACTCTAGGTGGTGCAGGCAACTGCAGCATTTTCAGGGGAAGCCAGTTTTGGAAAATTTCTACGTTGCTTTGAAGAAAAGGGTCAGGGAGGCTGTTCTATATTCCAATCTCTTTCCTCCTCTAGTCTCAGAGGCACAGGCAGAAACATGCCTTCTCTGATTAAACAAAGGATTCCAATATTGACACTTGAGACACCCAGTTTTGAAATAATTGGTGCTCATGATCTCATTCCACAAAATAGGAGTCTATATAATCATTAATTTTTGGAATTTTTTTAAATGTCTTAATGCAGCTAATTGTATTCTAAACTACTGTCATTAGCTGTGCTGTTAGGAAAACTGATAGTACAAATTAGGACTCTTCAAGTTCCCATAGAGCACATCTGCTTCAACTTACTATAGGCTGCCTCTTACCCTGTGATACTCAAAAATATTTGCCTTACCTCTCTAACTGGTGATTGCATATCCTCACCTCTTTCCAAGTGTCTGACTTCTCAATCATATGTAAGTTCCCTCTTTGGAGTAAATCAGCAGAAAGAGATTCTTATTTATATTGGAGTGGCTGTATATTTTAATAATGTAACAAACTTTCTAAGTGTGGTAAAGCTCTCTTTAAAATGATTCTACCTGCTGTCCATTTCCCTAGTTCTCTCCTGGGTTTTTGTATGACTTATCAGGCCCCTAGTAAAAACTGATTACTGGTGGGAAATGGAGAGTTGATCTTATTTAAGGGAATGACTAGATAGACTGACAAGACTCCAGGGGATGAACTTGCACTGAGGGACAGCTGTATAAAAAGTTTGACTCAGTAATCCTTAACACAAATGACAGAATGAATGAAATCCAGTGGGGTACCTATCAGGGGTGTGGAAAAGGGAGACGGTCTAAATGCAGTTATAATTTTTTAATGAAATGCACTAAATATATACATAAACTCAATAAATATATACATAAAAAACAAAAAAATAATATGGTGCTACTTTTAAATAAAATAAAAATAATATTCATAAATGAGAAATTTCTGACTTTCCTTAATATACTACATGCACAGAAAACTGATTATCACACAAATATATTTAAAATATTAGAAACTGCCTCTTGAATCTAAGAAAGATAAAATAAAAACCACTGTAATTTGAACAATTTATTTAGCTTATCTGGTTCTTACAAATTGCACTGCCCTAACTGAATAGAAAGGATTTGTATGGGAGGCTGAGTTGAGTTGTGTCTGAGCCAGGACCACCTGTGACCTCCTTGAAGGTTGAGAGGCACAGGAGTAAGGGAGTGTCCAGAGACTAATAGAGCATGGCTATTCTCTGCAGAAAGGATTCCAACACAGATAATTCATGATTGTCTTTATCCATGTTCTTCCTCCTGCAAGCAATATCGACAGAGCTAACCTAAAAGAAAATCCCTATCAAAGCGCACCTATGTGAGCCACTCCAAAGAATCACATTAAATTTAATTGGTGTTGTATACCACTTATCAAAGAAGACTTTTTTCCCTTATTGCAACATATGGAGGCTATTACAGAGTTCCACAACTGGTTACACACAGAGAATAGAATATATGTCTTTGAGATGCCCAGGTCTAAGTGGCATACCTACAGTGTACCTCTATACTGGTCTCATGGAACGTAAAGGAAGAGGAGGTAGAGAGAATACTAATGCATTCTTTAACTCTTACCAGGGAAGCTTCCTTATGCAACAGAGTGGGATGCACACAGAAGGCCCAATACTAAGTTTTAGAGAGTAAGAGTTTGAAGAGTGTGTGTCCTAGGATAGGATGCCTATATTAAACCTCAACCACCCATGGCTCAAGTATCATTGTGGAAGAGGGGGCAGAAAGATTGTAAGGGCTGTGGTCGGTCCATGAAAATAAGGAAACATAGGCTTTCACTAGAAGCTTGTTCATGTGAACTTGAGACAACAGTGGCCTCATGCACAAGATCTATGCCAACTCAATCAGACAAGGTCCAACATGGAGTGAAAGAAACAGGTGATGTTCCTTGACCTTAGTCTAGAAACTGTTGGCAAACTCCTCGATGAGGTAGAGTAGATCTTCTTTAAGATCTCTAGTCTGACCTGACTCCAGTGAATGAACTTGCACCGAAGGACATCTGGATACAAATGCTTGATGGTATATGACAACATATATGACAGAATAAATGCATGAGGCCTAGTGAGTGACGATGGGGGAGTGTGGGTGTGGAAGTGAGTCTAAATTAAGAATCATTGTATGAAATGTAAAAAGCTCAATAAAAATGAAAAAGAAAACATGTATACATTTGAGTTCTCATCAGCCTTAGTATTAAGTTCATTGTTGCAATCAGCAATGAACTTATTATTTGTGTGTGTACAAGGCAGCAAGAATTATGACAATCATACCAGTTAGCTTTTTTCTTCATGTCTGATTGTCCTCAGGGCAGTTGGTCCCTCTTCAATCATCTGCTATTCTCAGGAAAATGATACAGCTGATTAGAGTAGATTTAGGGTAGAGTCAAGGAGACCCTTGAGCAGATACAACATCTGTAACATGCTCTGCTGAGTCATTCAAACTCTTTCTCCTGAAAAAGCTCAGAGAGTCTTCTATTCTACTCCTAGACATTAACACATGATGGCAGCTGGGACAATTGGTGCAGGGGAATTTTTGTTCAGGGCTGTATCACTTTGAGAGGAGCTTGTATATTTTGCATATAGTAATAAACTCCGAAGTCCTCAGGCTTTACTCTGCCATTTTGAGTGTGAAATCTGTCCCTGATCCATTTCCACTGAACCTGTCTGGGACTCCAGTGTACCTATTAAACACCATATAGATCAGGAGCTGTGGAGACTGGCCTGGATTCTGCAGAACCCAATGCAAATAGGTATTTCCATTACTGTGTAGGGGGCCCTGACTGCAGGAGATGGAGGCCGACTCTCCAGGAGGAACAGGCAGGGAGAGTGGAGTCTGTGTCATCATAATGTCTCTGCTGGAACCTAAAATTATAAGAGAGAAGTACCAGGTAATGAACAAATATAATGAGACTTTTTATGTTTACTTTACTATTTTTTTCCTGAAAATCACATTTTACACTGGTCTAACAATATTCAATGTATGTAAAATGTTAGTGTTGGGTTGCAGGGAGAACACAGCCGTTAAAGGCTAACAACTAAAATGTTACTGTCAAAGCATAGCCAGACGTTGGAATTTTTCTACACTCTCCCTGTCCACTAGTGTCAGTGTCTTCAACAGAATGCAGGTCTTTGTTCTTTCTGAAATCTTCCTCTCACTCACAGATTTAAATTTCTGAAGCCCATCCTGAAGGATAAGATCTGCATACCTCACAGAAAAGCATGGAGATCATAGCTGTCTAGACTGCACATTCCCACCTCTTTCTCCTTCCTCATCTCCATCTGTCCTTACCAGAGGTCCAGAGCATAAACAGCCCCAGGAGCTGAGCAGGACACCTCATTCTGACAAGCTGACTGAAGAGTCCTGAGCAGTCAAGAAAAGAATACAGCTGAGCTTTTGTCTTAGACTTGCATAGATGAGGGAGATATGCAAATTCCCTGGTGTGACAGTAGGCAAAGACACAAGTGAATAGAAGCACTGTACCTGGGAGGAAAGTGAAAAAAAATATTTTGTGTGTTTGGAGGGACCCAAGTCTGTCTACATGGTCTGAAACAGTGGATAGAGGACTCCAGTGTGAAAGACTTAGCCTGTGAGGAAGACAAAGACACAAGTGAATAGAAGCACTGTACCTGGGAGGAAAGTGAAAAAAAAAATATTTTGTGTGTTTGGAGGGACACAAGTCTGTCTACATGGTCTGCAACAGTGGATAGAAGACTCCAGTGTGAAAGACTTAGCCTGTGAGGAAGACATGGTACAAAAGGCTCTGCCCCTCTTAGAACACATGTAGACCCAGCAACATAGAGGTGAGCCCACAAGGCAGTCAGTGATGGGGAAAGGTCAGCTCTTTAGCTTCTTCACAGTTAGTCCAGAGAAAACATCTTACCCAGCCTCACAAGTCACCATAGGAAGACATGGTACAAAAGGCTCTGCCCCTCTTAGAACACATGTAGACCCAGCAACATAGAGGTGAGCCCACAAGGCAGTCAGTGATGGGGAAAGTCAGCTCTTTAGCTTCTTCACAGTTAGTCCAGAGAAAAGATCTTACCCAGCCTCACAAGTCACCATGCTTAAGTACTTTATCCAGTAACAGTGTGGTTTTTAATTAGTATTGTCTTCTATGTGTTGCTACCTGGGTAACTGTTTAGCATTTTTCATTAAGATTTAGAAGCCTGGGAATGAATAAATTTCCTAAGTATGTTCAACTATAAAGAAAATACATGGAAAATAAATCTTTCCCTTTCAGACAGAAAGTTCTTGTTCTCTTTGGAAAAAAATAAATTTATGCTTCAGATTAGGAATGTGAAATTCTATGCAGTATTTTGGACAATAGAATCAATATTCTATTCCTCAGCATTGTCTATACATACCACAATTTAAAGACTTTTTCAAGAACTACTTCCAGTCAGTGGGGAAGATTGAACAGGAAATTTTATTCCTTGCTTGTGTGTGTGTGTGTGTGTGTGTGTGTGTGTGTGTGTGTGTGTGTGTGTGTGTGTGTGTGTGTTTCATTTATGTGTGGATTTGGTGTTAGTATATATGTTTATGCATGCTCATATATGTGAGTGAACATGTGTTTGTGGACACTTGTGTTCATTTAAGTGTATGTGTGTCGGGGGTAGTGACATTAGGTGTGTTCCTCAATTGCTTATTGAGATAGAGCCTCTCAGTTGAATCCATAGCTTGCTGATTTAACTACTATAGCTATCCAGCCATCCTGTGGATCTTCTCTCTCTGCCTCCAGAGTCCTAGGCCTGTAGGGTATTGCTATGCCTATCTGATTACATGAGCTCTGGGGATCCTAACTCCAGTCCTCACTTCTATGACAAGAGTTTAATCCATAAAGCCTCACCCCAGGCCTGCATTTTTATTTCTAAGTGGTATTTAGAGAGATTATTTATATCAATTTTTCTTATTATTATTCCCTACATGTATATAATGAAATATGATCCTATTCACCTCTACCCCCCATTTGCCCTTCTGTCTGCCTCTGTACTTCCCCCACCACCTTCCCCTCCTAACATTATGTCTTTTATAACCCATTAAGTCCCATTAGTGCCACCCATATGTGCATGGGTGTGAGGCCATCCACTGGAACACTGAAAACCTGCCAGTGGCCACACTTTCAAAGAATGATTCGCCTTCCCCCAGCAGGTATCAACTGCTAAAACCTCTTCAGTAAAGGGGTGTGGCCTGGAGATCATAGCCCCTGTCTGTGCATGAATTTTGGCTGACTTGATCTCGTGCAGGTCTTCTGCTGGTAACCACAGATGGTGTGAATTAATGAATGCAATAGGCACGGGATGTCCTGAAGATGGTATTCACAAAGCTGATCCTTTCTACATACGTGCTGCTTCCCTATATCTCCTCACTCATCCATCTCTATGCCTGGCTTCATGTCACTTACCTCACTGTGACAAACATATTAGTTATTCTTTGGGCCAAGCACAAAGTAGAAAATTGTCTTCTTCAAATACTTTCAGCTCAGTACTACCTCTAGTAAAATACTTTATATAGTTTTTAATTTCAGTTTTTAACTAGACTAATATAAATATTTATTCCTTAAAGTTTGCTGGTTCAGGGCTGGGGAGATAGCTCAGTGATTAAGAGCACTGGCTATGCCTGCAGAAGACCTGGGTTTGAATTCCAGCACCTATCTGGCAACTAACAACTGTTCGTGACTACAGTTCCAGGGGATCTGATGCCCTCTTCTGTCCTCTGCAGGCATTGCATGACACAAGTGCACTTGCCTACATGTAGACATTACAATCATACAATCATACACATGAAAAGAATAAATAAAAATTTTTTGAAAGTTTACTGCTTTAACATTTATTGGTCATGAATCATATTAAGGTCAGCATAAAGATTCTAACTAATAAACTATAAAATGTTGACAGGAATCAA